CACACCGGCTGCAGGAAAAGCTCGAGCTTTCCTGGTGGACCCACAGCCTCAGTTATACCGTTTTCTATCTCAGAGCAACTCTGGTTCCCCCTTAAATGGGGAAGAAGCGTCACCATTACGACTGTTTCCTTTGTAAACCCTGCAGGGGACCGCCCCCCCTTATCACCCAGTGGGAAGCCCCAGGAGGGGGAGGGAGCGAGCAGCACCCCCGCCCCCCCAGAGGAGGCCTCCCAGTGTTGAGGCGGCGAGGCCTGTCCCCTTAGCCCAGTGATGGCGAACCTTTTGAGCTCGGCGTGTCAGCATTTTGAAAAACCCTAACTTAACTCTGGTGCCGTGTCACATATAGAAATTTTTTGATATTTGCAACCATAGTAAAACAAAGACTTACATTTTTGATATTTATTTTATATATTTAAGTGCCATTTAACAAAGAAAAATCAACTAAAAAAATGAGTTCGCGTGTCATAGGTTCGCCATCACTGCCCTAGTCCCTTCAGCACCTGCACTTGGGCCAGCGGGGCCGGGGCTGGGGGGACCCGCTGTCAGGATGCGAGCCATCTCAGAGGGGAGCCATCTCGGAGGGGAGCCATCTCGGAGGGGAGCGCAGGAGGGAGGGGGAAGCAGCCCCCTTCCCACCATCCACCCTCTGGGAAGGCCCTTGTGCGTGAACACTCACCTCCTTGCTCTGCAGGCCCCTTAGTTAGAAATGATGGAGCGTGTCCGCGCTGCACCCAGCCCCTGCCAGCACCAGCGCGGGGTGGGGGGGGAACAGACCTCCTGAGCCCCGCGGCTGGAGATCCCGGTTTCTCCCCGGAGCATTCGTGCCCCCAGACACATGTCTTTGTATCGGCGGAACCGCACAGAGTCTGCCCCATCGCTCCCCGAGCCCTGGGCCTTGTTTTACGGGCGACGCCCTGCTGGTGGCATCACGCTGGTCCCTGGCAGACAGCGCAGTCGGCCCGCTTCTGTGTGGCCTGGCGGGCTCCTGTGGAACGCGAGGCAGTGCGCCCTCGCGGGGTGGGGGAGGCCCCGTCCCCTGGCCATCCTTCTGAGGCCATGACTGCCTTCTGGCCGGTGTGTCCCCAGAATGGATGTGGATGCCCTCCCCATTTCCCAGCAGCTGAGGGACCCCTTCCCGGCCTTGGCTCCCTTTGTGGGGGCCCAGGGACACCCCGTCACTGCAGCCGTGCAGGCGCGGGCCCAGCTCTCCTAACCTCCTTGCAGGCGTATCCCCCTGGAGCAGGTCCCGGAGGACGAGGACCAGTGCTCGGCCTGGCTGCACAGGCTGTACCAGGAGAAGGTCAGTGCTGCGGGGCCCAGCCCCCATTTCTAGCTGTGCTGTGGGTGCACGGGGGCGCACGGGGTCCCCTGGGAGTTGGTGGTGGTGGCGAGCTTTGCCATTGGGTGAGGTCTCGGACCCCAGCTACGAATGACCCTGGAGCTGGCCCTCGGCTTAGCAGCAGGGACAGAGCACAGCAGACACTTCTTCGGGGGGCGTCGCGGACAGAAGGGAGCATGTTCTGGGTGCAGTGGACAGGAAGGGACGTACTGGCCCCGACGGCCCTTGTCTGTTGTCCTGGGGGCGAGGTGTCCCGTGAGCAGTGCACACGATCCTGGGGCGCCCGCGCCCACAGTCTGGTCTCCCAGCGCCGCCGCATAAGCAGGAAGCACCGGGGTTCACTGTGGCGGGTGTGGTCTCTGCAGTGTCCCCCCATCGTGCTCCAGCTCCAGGGCCCCCCACTTTCTCTTTCCTTCCATGGCCTTCTCTCCTTCGAGCACAGGGCAGAGGCAGTCTGATCATTCTTGTCCAAACTGCTCCGACTCACGGGAGGTGAAGAGCCAGCTTCTACCTGGTGAGGAAGGCAAATATGTTTTTTACAATATAAATCCATTGGTTTCTTGTCAAACAAGATTTTTGGTGTTTTTTTAAAATATATTTTTTTATTGATCTCAGAGAAGAAGGGAGAGGGAGAGAGAGATAGAAACATCAATGATGAGAATCATTGATCAGCTGCCTCCTGCACACCCCACACTGGGGATCGAGCCCACAACCCGAGCATGTGCCCTGACCGGGAATTGAACCGTGACCTCCTGGTTCATAGATGGATGCTCAACCACGGAGCCATGCTGGCCGGGTGAGGAAGGCATTTTTATGACCAAGTCTCACCACCCAGCGAACACTTAGTTCTGATCCATCGTACACTTTCAGCCCAACCCAGCTCACTACCTAGAATCCCATGGATTCGGACGTCCTCACTCTAGGAATGCAGGCCCGGCGTCTGCCGCCTTTCCTCCCGGCTCCTCATGGGAAGACATCGTGTGGCGCTCTGGGCCTCCGCCACCGGAGATGAGAACTGCCATCCCGGTCGGAGCGTGCTGTAGGGTGGGGTCCAAGTTGCGCCACCAGGTTCAGCAGACACTTGTGTAGCTCGGGTTTAGAATGAAGGTCCCAACCATCTCTGCATGAAGTCGCTTCCGTGTGCCCCAAGGGCGTGACTTTCCCAGGTGCCTTTCAGCCGCCAGCCCCAGCACTCGCCCTGTAGGTCTCTTCTCCGCTTGGGGTCTGGGCATACGTGTCACCCAGCATGGGATCCGGGCACCTGGGCCTCGAGCTCAGATTCCTCTAGGGAGGTCTAAGGGGTGACTTGGAGTCGCATTTCCAGGGCAGCTGCTTCAGACCAGAGGGTGAGGGCCAGGTTTTTAACACGACCCCAAGGCCCGCCTGGGCCCGACAGGAACGGGGTAGCAAGCCTTTCCCTCTGGCTCCCACACAGGGCAGTGTGTCCTGGTGCTGTCTTCCAGTTGAATCAGTTGGTGGTAGAGAAAATGTCACTGTTAGAAAAATGCGCTCAGAAAAGGCCCAGGAAATGAATCCATTTGTAAAGAGCCACAAACACAAAACCACGGCAGATGCAGCCCCAACACCGTCGGGCAAAGGAGGCTGTTCTCCGGCGCACACCTGTGCTGACGCGGGAGCGGGTTCTGCATCAGCCCACCGATACCGAGGCACAACTTCCTGAGATGATGACACCTCAAGGTTTAGCCCTGGCCCCAACCATGACCCTAAACCTAACCCTAACCCTAACCCTAACCCTAACCCTAAACCAAACCCTAACCCTAGCCCTAAACCTAACCCTAACCATAATGCTAGTCCTAACCCTAATCCTAACCCTAACCATAATGCTAGTCCTAACCCTAAACCTAAACTTAGTGCTAACCCTAACCATAACCCTAATACTATCCCTAATCCTAACCCTAACCCTAGACCTAATGTTAAACCTAGCCCCAACCCTAAACCTAACCCTAGCACTAACCATATCCTAACCCTAGTCCTATTCCCTAACACTAACCCTAGCTCTAAACCTAACCCTAACCTTAGTCTTAGCCCTAAGTCTAACCCTAACCCTAACCCTAACCCTAGTCCTAGTCCTAACCCTAACCCTAACCCTAACCCTAACCCTAACCCTAACCCGCACATTCTCTCCTTTGTTGCCTGAGACGAGTGACTGATCATACAGGTATTAGCATAAAAGGGCTGTTGGATCAAGAACTGAAGTTCTGTTCGACAACCGAGACATTTTCCCATGAATCACTCGGTTGAGAACATAACTTTTCGAGAAGGGAGACATTCCAGAATGGAGGTTTGACTACTGGTTGGCATTTGGGGCTCCTGCTGGCTGTGGGGTGTGGGCTCTAACAAGCCGTTCACACCCCCACCTGATCCTTAGGGACCAAAGCCATTCCCAGGTCAGCACCTGGGAACCTGTAAACCGAGACCCACCTGGGGACGGAGAAGGGTTCTGTGGAGCGACCTCAGGGTGGCCTCCTCACAAATCCTAATGGGCAGGTCGTGGCGGTCACGCCCAAACCTCCGACTTTAGTGCAAGGCCATCGGGCCGTAAGCAAGCCCGTTCATTGTTCTGTGCATCTAGGTCGACACGCCTTTGGAATAAACCGCCCTGAGAGCACCTGATCTTAACTATCCCGTAACCCATCCCCACCTGCCTCCGCCTCCAGACCATCCTCCTGCTCCGCTTCCGCCCAGCGCACTGAGCGCTCACTGCCGTCCTCGGGGCCTTGCTCCGTCTGGGAGCTCCTGCTCCGGCACGTCCTCCGTTTGGCTCAAATACATGTTCATAAACATTCCCTGCAGCCTTGGTGTCCTTGGCCGCACACCTTTCCCCAGAGCCTTCCCAGTCCCACGTCTCCTTTCTGACAAAGCACTTCCTGGGCTGCAGTCTGGCTTTCGGAAGGGATTGGAAACGAGCCGCTAATGGTGAAAATGACAAAGTGGGTGAAAGCAGCCAGCTCCGCGCTGCCTTGGGGTGTGTGGAGCGGCTCTGGGAGGGGTGCAGGGCGGGGCCGGGGGTCAGAGGCCTGTCAACCGGAATCCACTGCTCAGCGTGTGGAGGCTGGTGGGCAGGAGTCCGCGCTCAGGGTGCCATCAGCCACCGTCTGACTCTGGCCCCGGCCCTCGTCCTCACAGAGGGAGGGAGGGAGCTCCCTGGGGTCTCCTTGATAAGGGTGCACCCCCAAAGGCCCCACCTCCTAAAACCATCGCCTCAGGGTTAGGCTTCAGCTTATGAGCTCTAGGGGGACACGTCAGCCCTTTGTACTCTCCACCTAGTTACCAGGCTCCTGGGGCCCCCCCTGGGCTGAGGAAACCCCCCCGAGTTTTGGCAGGGCAGTGGCATGAGGGTCCTCAGCCCAGCCAGGCGCCATCTCTCGCCATGTCACTGTCACCGCCTGGTAAGACCTGTCTGGGCGGCCAGTCCTGGGGATGGGGGGCACTCGGCACAGGAGCCCCTTGTCCTGTAACTGCTGGATGATTTGATCTCCCGAGAACTCCCCACTTCCCACGGCTGCTCTTGGGGAGGAGGCAGTCGAAGAGGCAGGTCGGGGCCGGGCTGGGAAGGCGCGGAGGGAGGCCCTGATCTCCCGGGGAGAGGGCAGGGGTCCCCCACAATGACGCTGAGTGGTGAAGGACACATTACCCCTGATGCCGCACCCCGACTGGGGAAGGAGAGAGTACCGTACACCTCAGCCATCTCTGTCTCGAGTCGTTAAAGGAAAAACCCAGGTCCTGAAGTCCAGGGAAGCGTTTCCCAGAAGCCTCGGCTCTTAGCGAACCGGGACTTCCAGGGCAGGCGGGCGCGGGCACCACCGTGCCAGCCCAGGGGCTGAGGACAGTGAACGAGCTGCGGGCTTAGGGAACACTGGTAATGAGAGACGGACCCCGTGGTTGTGGGGCGCCGAGCCGAGGTTGTTGCTGGCCCTCGCTCTCCCGGGCTGCGAGCACCCTGGGTGGCAGCACCCGGACCC